TAAAGGCGGAGGGAGCCATATGCAAAGATGGGAGAATGGCCTCTAGGAGCCGAGCCATCCCCTGGCCAACAGCAACCAACAAGGACCTCAGTCCTGCAACTGATAGAAACTTAATTCTGCCAAGAACTCAAGTGAGCTAGGAGGCAGATTCTTCCCCAGAGTGTCCAGATAAGAGTCCAGCCAACTAATAACGTTGATTTTGGTCTTGTGAAACCCTCTTTGGAGGAGCCACCTGGACTTCTGACCTAAAAGAGGGAGGTAATACAGGAGTGTTATTTTAAGCCACTTATAGAACAGTAGAAAATGAATACAAACCAACTATGATTTCACCAGCTCTAAGATTAGTCAGACCAGATTTCTGGGATAGCAACAGGCTATTTATAGCTGAAATCAAGATGCATTGGCTTTGATGTTTTCTTTAAGCTGCCAATTGAATAACTGTATCAAAAAAGAAAAGCTACATTGCATGTATTTGTTACCTTAAAAAATAAAACTTCACACTTGGATTGGCCTTCTCTTTTCAAGGCCCCTTCCTATCTCTTGTTCTCATCTTATCCTCACAAAAGCTTGCGGGGGGAGATAAGAATAAGACCTGTAGAAGTCGTTCGCCCAAAGAGAACAAGACTGACTTCTGCTTGATACGAGGAAAGCCTCTCAAACAATTATGACTGGCCCACTGTGGAAGGGGCCGCATTCTAGAATAATAAACCCTGCCCCGCTGGAGGAAAAGGCTACGTGGTCCTCTTGGGAGGATTTGATGGGGGAGAGCCTGGCTTGGTGAAGAGGCCAGAACCCCTGAGGTCTGTGCCGACACAAAAGGATCTGTGTGCCCAGGAACAACCAGACGGAATCGATTCATAGCTACATTGAGGCCAGTTGGCCGGGCAAGAGCGCCTCCTACAGGAGTCCTTACCACCTTGCCATTCCCACAGTAGCTATTGGTTTAAAGCCGCAAACATAGTGAACTCCTTGGTGCAAAGCAAAACCCACGTGATGGATCCCAGGGACACCTTTTGTAAGGCACCTGGCCGAGTTGCGCAAACACTTTGGAGCAGAGGTGACCTCTGACTTCTGTCTGGCCCCAGAGTCCTTGCCTTAGACCACGATAGTGTGATCCAGCCTCCTCTGTGGGAAACAGGCACAGACTGAAGTGGTTGGCTTGATGGCTACAGGGATGGACAAGCCAACAAGACCCCAGATGGAATTTTTAGAGCCGGAGCTGGTGTCCCTGAGGCCTAGGACAGCCTGCCGGCCAGTGGCCCAAACGTAATGGCAATCCTCATGCAGAAGAGGGAGATACTGTTCCTTTGTGGTTTTTCTTATGGCCCAAGCTAACGGCCCACTGCCCCTGCCTTCATTATTTAGAACACCTTAGCCCACTTCCCCTTCTTGAACCTTAGGCTTCCCGTCTGTAAAATAAGGCTGTTGAATTAGCTGAGCTCAGAAATCCTGTCTAGCTCTAGAGTTCTGCTATTTTGGGAAGAAAAATGTTTTTTGTGTTTTGGGGTTTTTTGGTACTCCCCCTCCTGCCCCCAAGTGCTGCTTCTGGAGATAATTGGAAATTCATAGAAGCTCAAAAAGAGATTGACACCCAGTTCCAAGGATTTCTTTCCAGAGATTCTAGAGTTTTCTGGGCTAACTCTATTTCTGTGAAACCTTGCACTTCTGGACTCCCGGATTCCTTGAGAGCCTTGCACCTGCAGAGAGAAGAGGTCTGGGAGTGCCCTCCAGCCAGCAGAGGAGGACAGAGAGGGGGTGTGGGGGGGAGTGCGGAGGAGAGCTGGCAGGAGGCCAGGATTCTGCCAGTCCTCCTGCCTTTCCTTCTGGGAGGTACAGGGCTGCAGCCGGCCCTGGAGAGTCCTGGAAGAAGCCTGAGGCTGGGAGGCGTGGAAGGCACTGGGGCCAGTCTGGAGCCAGAACCCAGCCCATGAGGGCAGCTATGGTTAAAGCTGTGCACTGCCTCCATGATGATCTAGCTAGGAATGTTAGAGGAGAGAAGCATTTCCAAACGGTAAGAGTGCCTGAGTTTTTGCCGTTCGCCCTGACTCACCCTGCTTTGTGGTCCATTCTGTAGGTCAGCAACTTGAATGTGAGCTTAATCCACAGGGGAAAAGTGAGGCTCCAGGGGGAGCCCAGCTCATCAGCCCCTAAATGCTGCCATAGCAACTCTGTACACCTCTCCTCTCCTCCTGGGAAACCTGCCTTCCTGGCCTTCATATACAAAGATGAAACTACATACAGGAATTTTGCACTCAATTAAAGGAGAATTCAGGGACTCCCTGCAAGTCTTTTCAAACCCAGTTTGGTTCTAGTGGAGACACAATCACCATCTGGCATGAAGGGCATTAGTCTGGGGTTTCAGGTGAACTCTAGACATCAGATTCAGAAACAGAATTCACTTCAGAGGCCCCCTTGGATGGCCCCTCCTGGTCCAGGCTGCAGGTGGAGAGCCTGTGTTTTAATTTGCTAGGTATTAAAAAGTTAGGCCAATGGCACATTTTTAGTGGCTTTCTTGAGGTATAATTTACATGCCTTACAGTTCACCCATCACAAGTGTGCAATTCAGGGACGCCTGGCTGGTTCCGTCGGTGAAGTGTGCAACCCTTGATCTCGGGATTGTAAGTTCGAGCCCCACATTGGGTGTAGAGATAACTTAAAATCTTAAAAGAAGTGTATGATTCAATGACTTTTAGTAATTTGTGGAGTTGTACAACTATTACCACCATCCAGTTTCAAACTTGGCCATCACCCTTTTTGTGGTCGATCCCATGTCCTTTACCCAGGCAGCCCCAGATCCACCGTCTTTCTCTGTTTTCCAGACATTGCATCAGTGAAATGATACACTATGCAATATTTTGATTCTGACCTCTTTGACTTAGCTTAATGCTTCTAAGGTTCCCTCTTCTTGTAACACCTATCCATATGTACTTCATTCCTTTATGTTGTTAAATAGTAGTCCACTGCGTGGATACATCTCATAATTATTTACCCATTCACCATTGGTGGACATTTGGAATATTTCCAGTTTCTTGGCATTAAGAATATTGCTGCTAGGAACATTCCTGTGTAAGTCTTTGTACATAAATGCTCAGTTTCCTTGGGTAAAGTCCTAGAAGGGGAATTAGTGAATCACATGGTAAGCTTTATGTTTTTGTATTGTTTTGTTTTTGTTTTTTAAGATTCCTTTATTTATTTGAGAGAGAGAGAGTATGAGCGGGGGTAAGGGCAGAGGGGGATAATCCCAAGTGGACTCCCTGCTGCCTGGGGAGCCTGACTTGGGGCCCAGCCCCACGACCCTGAGATCAGGACCTGAGCAGAAATCGAGTCAGACACCCAACCAACTGAGCCACCCAGGCGCCCCAGTAAGCTTTACTTTTTAAGAAACTGCCAAACTGTCTTCCAGAGTAGCTGTACCATTTTCCATCCCCACCAGCTGTGTAGAAGTTCCTAGTTTTTTCACATCCTTGCCAACACTTATTCTAGTCTGTCCTTTTTACTATAGCCATCCTCATGGGTATATCATGGTATCTCATTGTGGATTAGATTCACATTTCCCTAATGACCAGTGGTTTTCAACATCTTTTTATGTGTTTATTACCCAAAGGTAATTATTACCCTTTTTAAAAGGTACCAGAAACAAGGGGGGCCTGGATGGTGCAGTTGATTGAGCATCTGACTCTTGGTTTTGGCTCAGGTCCTAATCTCAGGGTCATGGGATTGAGCCCTGCGTCGGGCTCCACGCTCAACAAGGAGTCTGCTTGAGTTTCTCTCCCCCTCTGTCCCCTCCTCCCCTTCTCTAAAAAAAATAAATAAACCTAAAAAATAAAAAGTACTAGAAAGAAGCTTAAAGCTGATTTTATTTTATTGTCATTAGGAAAGATAGTCACAGGAGGGTTAAACAGATGGAGTGATTGATCCCTTCACTCATGAATTTGTTTCATAAATAATGATTAAGGGCCTAATGTGGCTGGAGCTGTGCTAGTTTCTGGAGATGAAACAATAAGACATGGCCCCACCTTCATGTGTCTTATGAAGATCTATATGAACAATGTGTGTGGTATATATTGTTGGAAGCTGGAGTGGAATACAGTGGAGGAGGAGCTCAGCCAAGGGGCATCTGCTCACTCCCCCCAGTGTCGAGGGGTCCGGGAATACTCCTAAGTTGGGGAAATAATGTCAGATATGAGCCCCAAGACGTGAGTAGCCACCAGCGAGGCTATGGACTGCCATGTTGAAGAAGGACATGACTCAGGTGGACCGGAAGGGCTAGGGCTGGATGGGGGAAAGAGAGAGGGACGAGCGCAGTCTGGGTCTCCTCGTCCATTTAAGCTGCTATAGTAAAATACCACAGACTGGGTAGCTTATAAACTGGAAATTTATTTCTCACAGTTCTGGAAGTTGGGGAGTCCAAGATCAAGGCACCAGCATGGTCAGGTTCTTGTATGAGCTGCTATCTTCTTGCTGTGTGCTCGCATGGTGGAAGGGTCAAGAGGTCCCTTCGGAGCCTCCTTTATAAGAGCAATAATCCCATTCGTGAGGCTCCACCTTCATGAGCTAATCACCTCCCAAAGGCCCTACCTCCCAATACCAGTCTCTGGGGGTTAGGATTTGAACACATGAACTGGGAGCTGGAGCACACAGATATTCAGAATGTAGCATGGACACGTGAGAATAGCTCTCCACTTAGGGCATTTGGGCAGGAGGGATGGGAGAGATGGGCAGTGAAAATCAGGGGCAAGATCAGAAAGAGCCTGGCAGTGAGCCAGCGATGCCCTTGAGGGAGGGAAAATCAGGATCAGATGACCCTTCAGAGAGTTCTCCCCATAGCACCATGGGGTACAGATGGGAGTGGGGGCTCTGGATTTCCTTTACAGAGAAGCTGTCGGGTCTCCTGTGGCCTGGAACCCAAGCTCTATCTCCCTAGGACGCAGCAGCGCCAGAGCCATTGGTCGGGCCACCCGGGGCCCTGGCAATGACCTGCGTGCTCCTGTGTTTGACAGATGCTACATCACCCTCACCCAGTCTCTGCACCTGACCATGAGTGGAGCCCCAGCAGGACCTGCAGGCACAGGCAAGACAGAGACCACCAAGGACCTGGGCCGAGCACTGGGCATCATGGTGTATGTGTTCAACTGCTCAGAGCAGATGGACTACAAGGTACGCCTCACCTGGAGCCTGGGGGGCGGGGGGCGGGGTGGGGACTAGGAACTGGGTGGCAGCCTACATTGGGGTTCAGGTTCATTCACGCCCACCTGGCCCAGCTCAGAGGTCCAGACACGGAGGTGTCTGCTGGCTCCATCCCAGGAGACCTGAGGATCTCTGATCCCTGGAGCTTGTTTACCTCCCTGTAAGCCGATGAGCTTCATTTTGAGATCTTTGTCACCTGTATAAAGGAGAGGCTGAGCATCTATCCAAAGGCTTACATTCACTGTTTGACCTAGAACCACAGAAAGGCTCACAAGTGGCTCCCATGAAAGCCTCACATAAAGGTCAAATTTGTGCTTCTCTGGAAAAGTGGGCATTTCCTCAGTATTTCTACAAGGGCAAAATATTTTACAAGGGCAGGTGTGGCTTCTGAAGGCAGACTAGATTAACTTCCACTCCTAACAAGTGATGCCCACGAAGGTCAAGTGCAAGGCCAATGTTCTTCACTCAGGTGCTCATCATTTTTGGTTTTTAAATGTATTCCAGGTTCTGTGACATAGAGAAAAGCCAAGAGAAACAAGAGGCCCATAGGTCACTTCTTAGTTAGCATATTCTGCTAGATGTCATATAGATTCTTTTTTTTTTTTAAGTGTAATGAAATTGTCTCACTTTCTCATTAATTTTGTTTTATTGTATTATTTTGGTAAACTATCTTAAGTTCTTTTTGAAACAGGATGGCATGTAAATAAATTTAGAGTGGGGGAAAAAATAAAACCATAGCATTAAGTAGATTAAATGTTTATATGTATAAATCATGATATATGGGGTACAAAATAAATTTAATTTAAAAATAATTTTAGAGACTGTGAGCTAACATATAGAACTCTAAATGAGATTCATCTGCTGTAAGTTTAAAATTTCTCTTGTACAGAAAATTTTGCTGTGCAAAGAGTTGCAGAAACCTAAAGCACCATGTTTGCTCATAGCAAGCAAACAAAATGAGGATTCAGATGCCAAACAGCTGTCCTCCTCATATTCTACACAGTCTAAATTTTATCATGGTTGCTTTTATTGATGAGCACATTAAAGTACTATTTCTCTAAGAAAAAAAAAATAGGGCACCTGGGTGGCTCACTCAGTTAAGCATCTGACTCTTGATTTCAGCTCAGGTCGTGATCTCAGGGTCGTGGGATCAAGCCATGAGTCGGGCTCCATGGTGGGTGTGGAGACTGCTTAAGATTCTCTCTCTCCCTCTCCCTCTGGCCCCCCGCCCCCCATGGAGCATGTGTGCGTACATGTGTGCTCTCTCTAAAAAAAAATGTTTTTAAGTAGTATTTTTCTTTAAGTCAGGCTAAAAGAAGGATGTGTTTTTTTCCTATAAACTCAATCTTTAAGGATTAGGTTTCTAGATTTTCCTATAATTGAGCAAAAGGCAGCATTGCTGAATAAGTATATTCTCCCCAGGGGGACATTCCAGAGGACACACTCATTTAGATGTAGAAGACCTGGTGTATTGATTGAAGAAAATCAGCAGGATTTCTTCAAGTTTATGCTTGGCATGCCAAACAGGAATAAATGAGTTGGCCCCATGGTGAGGAGGTCACCAAGGCTATCTTCTCCAATTCTTTCAAAACTTCCTACTGAACCCTGATACGCCACCAATTCATCTGAGGGTACAGGATGAGAAGAGGGGTCTGTCCGTAGTTTGTCTGGACTGTGTGAAGCTTTGGTCGAGTCTATGAAGACACAGATCAGAGCAAGAATTATAGGGATAACTATAGGAAAACACACCAAAAGGATGGTGGTCTCTTCCGAGGCACCAAATATCCTGTGTAAACAACATCCTCACTGAGCTGTTTGCAAACCTCCTCTTCCCTTTGCTGTCCAGCTGTTTAGAATTATTTTCATCACAAAACACTCTCCAGCAATCAAGTTAATTTATTTAGTATCACCATTGCTCAGCATGTGTGTGCATCATGAAAGGATGGATGAATGGTTGGGTGGGTGGGTGGATGGATGGATGGATATATGATACAGATAAATACACATAGGTTGATGGATAGATGACAAAGAGATGAGAGAGAGAGAGATGATAGGATGATAGATAAATGATGGATAGATACAAAGACAGACAAAAGTATAACCCAGTCTATCTGGATAGACGAGAGATATATGAAATAATTAGGGGAGATACCAAATAGCATGTAGAATGTGTGTTCTACAGATTCTAATCCCTGGAATACTTCAGAGATGGGAAGAGCACAGAGTACGCTGGTCATGAACATCCTGGAGGATGTGAGACCCAAGGCTGTGTAAGGTTTGGGTGAGTGCCAAACAGGGCATGCGCCATTTTAACACTGCCTAACCCATTAAAACGTCAGCTTCAAAGACATGACCAAGTTCCCTGTGCATCATCATCCTTTCCCTACTCCTCACTCTGACTTCTCCCTTGAGCTGTCCTCACAGGGATTGGCTGGGATGAGAAAAGGACGGAGTGAGGGTCAGGAAGAGCTGTCCCACACTTCACCAGGCATCATTCTGATGAGTCATTCACGACACTCACAACAACTTGTTTCTGTATCCCCAGAGAACAAGCTAGCAATAAATATGGAACCGTGGCCGAGTGCATGAGAGCAGACTAGGGGCAGATTATAGGAGATAGGGGTTCCACAAGGAGGGGAGGGACACAAAGCCATGAAGAGAACATTCCCCAGAAGTGGTGGCCATTCACGAAGATCCTGTGGGCTTCAGGACTCAAGTGGGAGCATGACGAAAATGGGTGGCCTCTGAGGAAGACTCCTTGGGTAGCCAGACGAATGGAGGCAGGAGGGGACTGGAAGGAGGGCAAATTTTTGCCAAGAACGTTGCAGTTATTCAAACAGGAGGGGGTGAGCCACCAGACACTGGGGTAGTATAAATGGAAAAGAAAACATGAGAGACTTTAACAAACGGAATGATACCTGGTGAATGTGGGGAGGGCTGGGTGGTGAAACTGGGGGAGGGTAAAGAGGAGAGATGGGCTGTAGTCAGGGACCCTCACAATGCCTTCTGCGTCCGTGATCCCACAAGAGGCATCGGGTATTGGGGCGGACACAGAACAATGTGGAGACTTGGGGAAAAGGCAAAGTTATGGCTCCCCTCTATTAATTCTGGTTGGAAAACCCATAAGCCTAGTCAGTTCCTCTGGAAACCATTGCAGTTTTGGTGCTAAGGTGTTCTTTATGTCACAGCAACGGTACTGTCCCCCTTGACCTCAATTCAGAGATGCTATTGCTGAAGTAGCAAATGGTTTTGAACCTGAAAGACCTGGGATTCTTTTGGACCTCTCTGCAGCATCAACGTTATAGAACACGCATTCCTTCCTGAGAAACCCTACTCTCTCGGTCTCTGAAACATTATATTCCACAATAACTCTCTGATCCTGCCATCTGGGTCTCCTTCTCAGATCCTCTTTTATAACTTCACATTTTATCTGGGTCCTGATGACTCCAGAATCTACCTTCCAGCCTCATCCAAGAGCTAAGTCTTCCCAACTAGAAGGAAGGGCATTTGGATACCCTCATGTTTGGTTAACACTCTCTTCTTAGACATTTCCTGCTGACCGCCCCCATCTTCCCCCAGCCAGTTTCCCCATGCCATGCATGCTAAGGTTCTCATTTTCCCCTGTGGCCCAGGGTGGAAATCTTAGACATCCTGATTTTTTACGTCTTTCCTTCGATAGTTGCAATCAGTCACTAGTGTTGATTCGTCCTTCAGCAGGTCTTTCAAAGCTCCCGGGCCATTGGCCCTATTCTTACTGCCCTCATCCTAGCCCAGAAATTTGGTGTCTTGTGCTAGGTGACACCACAATCAGGCTAATAGTACCTTCATACTACTGTGGTGGCATCAAAAAATATGGTGATGTGGGGTCTCGGGCTGTGCTCAGGCCCTTGGGGTAAAGTGTGGGGGTGACCAGTATCCACCTATGGAAACTTCACCCCCCCCTTTTTTTTTGGTCTTCTCTATTGGATTTCCACTTGATGAAAGGGATCCACAGCTTTAAAAGCTTTCAGAACCGCTGTTCATCTGCAAAAGCATGGACTTTTGATTCCCAAACTGCCACATAAGTAATTGTAAGATTTGTTAGGTTGTTAAATATAGTAATATATAGAATGTATATTACTATATATGCATATCAGGTGTTATACATACAGATGTACATACTCATGAATACGTTAATAGTAATATCCACCTATAGGATGCAACACCTGGGATTTATGTCACCACGTCCATAGAGAGACCATGTATGGCTACTCAATCCAAAATAGCCACATCATTGTAGGACTCCCATGAGACTTGTCATTATCTGACCTTTTCTTCTTTTTGTGTCATTGTTTTCTCCCCTAGAATGTACGCCCCATGAAGATTGTGGCTTTGTCTCCCTGTTCACAGCTGATTCCTCATGACCTAGGGCAGTCCCTGACCCATAGTACATGCTCAGAAAGTATTTTTTGCATGAATAGAGGAATCCATTAATTCAGGGAGCTTAATGAAAGGTGGGGCTTATCCTTCCGTCCTTTTCACAGGCTAGCTTATGGGATGTTAGATTGGTTCTCCTAAAATGTTGCTTTAATCTTGCTTTCCTCTGCTCCAAACCTCCATGGACCTCCACGGTCCCTTCAGATAATTCAAGGCTTTTCATAAGCATGACCTCCTTTTGTGATTGAACTTTCCAGCCCAAACGACACCTTTATTTTTCCCTGGACATACTATGATTTTGCTCATCCTGTGCCCATAATATTTACTGCTCCCAGAAAGCCCTTACCCGTTTCCCTATCCCCTTCCACTCTGCCTACACACATACTAATCAAGCATTCCCACGGTGTATTCTGAAGATAGCATACAGTTCTGTGAGATACCAGCACCCCAGATCTTCTGACTTCCCTTCCTGTGTTCTGTCCACTACGCGGAAGTTCGCCAGCGTGCATCCTGAGAAAACCAGGAGCCCCATGAGGGAAGCAAAAAATCCTGGCCCTAAAACATTGACTGAATTTCATGGGCAGGTCCTCCCCTTTAAATTCTAATATATGTCATAAATTAGCAAAAGAGGGTTCTAGAATGTGGTGTTTCCTAAACTCGATTGACCCAAACGCCTTCTCTTCAAGGAGCATCTCCTGGATTTGGCATCCCATGAAATAAACTTTGGGGAATGCTGTCCTAATACTGTCTGAAGTTCAGCTCTTTGGCAACACTGATCACTAGCGAGTGCTTCGATTCACCCCTCTCTCAACGCCATGACAGCTGTCTTTTACTGTATCCGTTGGAACCACTGCTCCTGAGGCGATTTACCTGTGCTGTCCGTATGCCTTCTCTCCACAGCCTAACTCGAAGCTCTTAGAGGGACCAAGCCCTTCTGTGTCTAGAGCATGAGCTGTGCACAGAGCTGATGGTCAGCAAACACTCATTACAGAAGCAAATGAGCCTTTTCCACTTTCCCAGCACTTTAGCAAAGTCACCCAGCCAATGGCCTTGAGAGTGTCCCCCCATAACCTCCCCCTTTGTATGACTCCATGGTTTACTGATTCACACTGAATGCCCAGACAGTTTTTATTTTTAGGACAGATATGCCATCTTCTCTTTGAAATTCTTTTCTTGCTCTCCTTTGAAAATATTTACCTGTCATTCACTTTCTACGGATCTTATCACTTTCCCCATCCATCTCCAGCTTCCTAGCACTCTGGGAGGGCTGGGTGTTTGGGCCCGAATCTAAAGACACAGACATAAACTTGTTTATCGGCACATGCCAAAGGCTGAGTGGATGGCTTTTTTTTTTTT